ACCCCAAACACAAACAAAATCACAAGAGAAATAATAGGGGACCTAATCACAAAATTAAAAAAAAAAAAGATTAAAAATACATACTATTTCTACGCCTCTCGAGATGGATCAGATCAAGCATTTTCATCCCAAGGCTCCCATCCCAGGTCTTGGACCGACCGACCGCCAGCCCGCGCGCCCCGGGCAGAGTCGCGGGGAACTGCCCGGCCGGCCGCCCCGGCACCATCTCCCGAAACAAAATCCCCCCCCTCCCCAAACACCCCGGGCTCCCAGGGCTCCCAGGAAAGTCACGTGAACGCTCCACCTTGACGCGGAAACCATCTCCGTGCCGGCCGGCCCGCACCTCTTCAGCTAAATCTGCTCAGGATCTCCAGCCATCCATCCATCATTCGATCGATCTTCGGCGCCGGCAAACCCCCCCCAATAATCACGTGATCTAACGCCGCGTTAGCTCCGGCCCGGCGCCCGCCCTCGACGATTTCCCCTGCCTGATTGACCCTGACGACTCCTCGTACGTGCAGACAACGACGGGGGAAGAACGCCACCGGAAAAAGCAAAAAAACCTGAAAAAATTTTCTCACCGGCGGAGCCGGTGATCAAGGCCGAAAGGGAGGGAAGAGGGGAAGAGAGGAAGAAGAGAAGGGGGAAGAGAGGAGAAGAGAGAAGGGAGGAAAGGGAGAAAGATATATATATTAGAGAGAGGGAGGAGAAAAGGGAGAAAAAGGGAGAAAAGTGTTTGTTCATATATATATATATGTATATATGAGAAAGAAGAGAAGGGCAGAGGGCTCTGCTCGAAGCGCTCTCGGGCAAGTTGAACTCCAGTGAACTCCAGGTTCCCCCCGCAGAGCCATCCCCCCCTTCGATCCCCCGGATATACCAGGGCTAGTTCGTACCGATGGGGGTTGTCTACAACAAATCGAGCCAAGGATCGGGCTGACGCTCAGCGACTCGTAACAACAAGGCTACTTGACCGCTTACACGACCCGCTTGGTCATTTCAGTCGTCTGCAGAGGATCTATCCCCGCGCGTGGTGACATTGCAATCCGCCAGCTGGCGCCCGGGGGTCTCTCCCCGGGCACCGTCGCCGGCCTGCTGAGGTTCTGGGCCCGGAGGCCTATTCGTATCCAACTACAACGTGCGGGGCAACATCGCCGCGTTCCGGCACGGATTCTGACTTAGAGGCGTTCAGCCATAATCCGGCAGATGGTAGCGTCGCGGCACTGCCTGGTCAGACAGCCGC